GTTATTATTTTTAGGAGGGGGGCAGGGGGTGTCTCACTTTTTAAAAACATATGCTGAGGGGGTATAAATTGATCGTAAAACCGAATTAAACGTGGATAAAGGGTGAAGCGAGTGTAGCGGTCTGTGACATAGCCGGTCTGTGTAGGTTTGTTGTTTGTTTTTTGGGGGTTGTTTTTTTTAATTTTCTATGGATTGTATAGGGATATGTGTCATAAAAATTATTTTTGTTTTTCGTTTGTTTTTGTTTGTGTGCTTTTTTGATGAGGGGTATTTACTGATTTCCTGCATTCTGCTGCGTTTTTAAAAAATAGTTTTTACGGCGTTTTGTTGTCGACAGTCTCGTCTGACGAATGGGTGGTTGGCAGGTGCTCTCATGTGGTTTGTTCCTTCTTTCCTGTCAATCATCTATCGTCCTGATCTCTCCATGTTCTTCTCTTTTTCTGTTACTCTCTAGTAGCATGTGCAATATTCGACACGTATATTATGGTGTAATTGTGCTTTACGTGCCGTAAAACTCTTCCAAAAACTAAAACCAAAGTGAGCCGGCTGAGTGGGTGGTTGGCGGGTGCTCTGGTGTGGTTTGCTTCCTATTTCTTATCAAACATCTATTGTCCTTCTCTCCCCTTCTTCTTGTCTATGTTTGTTACTCTCTTGTAACACCTCTAATCTTCTGGCGCTCATATGACCGTATGCAGTTGCGAGTGCCGTAAAACTCTTACTAAAACTAAACTGAGCCGACTGTACTTGACAGAGTTGGTCCCGACAGGCAGGTCAAAGCCCGCCTCCTCAATGATCTAAACCCGCGGGGCGGTGCCACTGACTGAAGTGTCTCTTAGCCATTCCCACAGGGGGGACATTTCTTGTTTTAATGCACAGTAGAATTGTAAATGGGCTGATTCATCATTGTCACCCTCATAACTGCGCCTGATCTACAACAGGAAACTGCTGCTTTTTCTTTCCTAATCCTTACTATTGTCATTTTCTTCTACTTCTTTTGTATGTTTGTCACTCTCTTGTGACCTGCTATTTCCGGGGTGCCTTGATAGTCGAAGCAGACTTTGTGCTGTTGAAGCAAGAGGGGTAAGCTGAGTGAGTCTGATTCCCTGTAAGGACTTCTCTGTTGACATCCACCCCTTAGCGCTCATATGACTATATCGTCGGCCTAGTGATAAAACCGACTAACCCATAAAATTTCCCCAAAAAATTTTTATTGGCCCTATCGATAGTAAATTGTCCATTTCATATGCTCACTCAAAGACAGATCATAATTTTGTGTTGCGAGCGCCGTAAAACCTCTACTAAAACAAACAATGATCTAAACTGTGTCAATGGGGGCGTAAAATCACCAACTTTTTAAAAATATACCTTGGAGTGCCTCTTGGAACAAGAAAAGCAGTTTGAGATACGTGCTGTTTTTGCTACTACTGTCAGCGTCTTGAAACTGTCATAGCGACAGTCAAAGAGTTTATTTTGTGAGTGAGTGTATGTGTGTGTGTGTGTGTGTGTGTGTGTGTGTGTGTGTTTGAGAGA